TTTGCACAAAATGTTTCTTTAATATCTCCAATTTTCTTGAACAGATCTCTGGTTTTTCCCTTTCTATTATTTTCCTTTATTTCTTTCCACTGTTCATTTAAGAAGGCCTTCTTGTCTCTCCTTGCTATTCTTTGGAAATCTGCATTCCGTTTTCTATAACTTTCCCTATCTCCGTTACATTTTGTTTCCCTTCTCTTCTCTGCTTTTTGTAAGGCCTCGTTGGACAGCCACTTTGCTTTCTTGCATTTCCTTTTCTTTGGGATGGTTTTTGTTGCTGCCTCCTGTACAATGTTATGAGCCTCCATCCATAGTTCTTCAGGCATTCTGTCCACCAAATCTAGTTCCTTAAATCTCTTCTTCAATTCCACTGTGTATTCATAAGGGATTTGGTTTAGATTATACCTGACTAGCCCAGTGGTTTTTTCTACTTTCTTCAGTTTAAGCTTAAGTTTCGCTATAAGAAGCTGATGATCAGGGCCACAATTGGTTCCAGGTCTTGTTTTTGCTGACTGTGTAGAGTTTCTCCATCTTTAGCATTCCAATCCCCTATAATGAGAAGAACATTTTTCTTTGGTGTCTGTTCTAGAAGGTGTTGTAAGTCTTCATAGAAATGGTCAATTTCAGCCTCTCAGCGTTGGTACTTGGTGCATAAACTTGGATTACTGTGAAGTTGAAAGGTCTGCCTTGGATTTGTATTGAAATCATTGTATCATTTTTGAGATTGTTATCACAGTACAGCTTTTCCCACTCTTTTGTTGACTATGAGGGCTACTCTATTTGTTCTACAGGATATCTACAATAGTAGATATGATAATCATCTGAATTGAATTCGCCCATTCCAGTCCATTTTAGTTCACTGACGTCCAGGATGTCAGTGTTTATTCTTGCCATCTCCTGTTTGACCACATCCAGCTTACCAAGGTTCATATACTGTATCTTACATTCCAGGTTCCTATGCAGTATGTATGTATGTATGTATGTATGTATGTATGTATGTATGTATGTATGTATGTATGTATGTATGTATGTATGTATTTATTTATTTATTTATTTATTTATTTATTTATTTATTTATTTT